CGTAGTCATGGAGCGTTGTGTATTTGGGTTCGGGCCCGGTGATGACCGCTAGGTGAGCGGGTTTTGTTTGGCTCAAGTTCTTGTGTATATGGGTGGAGTTTTACGGACCGGATTTCTGAGAGGGGGCTTTGTATACATGTATTTGGTATGATTTATATGACGTGATGGATGATGGCTGGTGGGTTAGATGAATACTGAATTCAATTCGATGCAATGAATTGCTCTTGTTTTGATGTCCTGCGCTCTGCTAACAATAGAAGGTCTTGCCTACCGTGTGAGGTGGGGTATTAAAGACTAGCATCAAGCCCTGAATCATGATGCCCGATATGGGGAGGCCGGAGGCAATATTCTGAATGGGATTGTCTGTCATATACATTACCTGTAAAGTATCATACCTCGGGTTATAAAATACTCGAATACTGTACATCATTCGTAGATGTCTAACCGCTATGCCAAGTATCGTGCAGCAGCGACGAATACCTGTAACTCTACGAATGAACGAACAGGCCAGGCGGGCGGGCGGGCACGCTATCGACAGCCGAATGGAGGAAGGAGGGGGAGGGGTCGCGCTAGGGTCGGCGAGTCCGTCCGGCCAAATCTCGGCATAGCGGAATCTAGGGGCCGTTGAGCCCGCACGGGCCATCACAACTTGCCCCCCCCTGCCGACCGGCGGTGCTCTTCAGGTTTCGGGATCACGGTAGTTGCCCCGGCCGGGTGGGGTCGTCAGACAGTGACGGACGACCATCAGCTTTCCCAAGCCATCATCACGTTGCGGGAGGAAGGAAGGAAGGAAGGAGAAAAGTGTCGGGTCGTGTTGTCATAGTTGGGAATTGTCCCGTTTCTTTTTTAGCTTGTAATTCGTCTTTGCTGGATGCGTGTCTGTTGTCTTCTTTTTTATGATACTTCTGGCGGGAACGGGGGGAGTGCTGGTTCGTTTAGTCATTTCTTCATTCTTCCTCTCTTTCCTCCCCCGGATGGGTTGGACGCAAGGTGGTGTTTCCAGACAAGTGTGATGCCCCCTTCGACGAAGCTGGCTGGGCGGTGGGTAGGAGGGGGGGGGGAGTAAAGCGGGCAGAGGTTATTTTCCGTCATGGGGAATCACTCGTGTGGCTTGTGGCTGGTGATTTGTGTTGGAAAGTCTGGATGGGGGTATCTTAGGTATGCTACTACAACTTTGGGCCCCTGCGTGTGCTTTGTACAAGTATGATATTTGTGCTTGTGCGTTTTTGGGAAGGAGGATCTGGTGCATAGGTCTGGCTACCTTGCCGCTCATTCCTCGCCCACAATCCGGATATTCGTCCCCCACCCCACCCTCCCTCCCCGCTGGGGTCAATACTCTACCGCCTAGGGTCCTTTTGACCGATCTCACACCTTGGCCTCTACCCTCACCAAGACCTAACGTCCACCTCGAACCTGCCTAGCATCCATTCACTCCACTAGTCCCCGAGGTTAGGTTTTCTTCCTTTGGGGACCTTTCCGGCGTGGAAACTCCCCTCCGAGAGAGATACGATACCAAACATGCGCTTCCTTCAGAGAGCTGGAAGCGCTGGTCATTGTACCGGCTCGGGCGGAGTGCGGTGCTGCCTTATGTGGGAATGTGGGAATGTAGTGTGGCGGTGCATGTGCTGCTGCTGCCGGTAACTTTTCTTCCGCACTGTATTGTACTGTATCGTACTTCCCTGGCTAGCTGGATTTTTGGGAGCCTTTCCCATCCAATTCAGGACGGAGCTGCTGCAAGCCTGGTGGTCTGCTATCGCAGGGATCTTGACTCCCCTCCCTCCTCCCCCCGGCTTTCCGGCCATGTTCGGTCGATTGCTTGGGGGAGTGATTCGTACTCCAATGGGTCGGAGGTGATACATACTTCCGGGCCCACCCATAGCCATACCTGGTAAACCTAGGGGGGGGGGAAGGTAAAACTTTTCTTCTCTTTTTTTTTCCAATTGACATCATGATGGTTGGAAAATGGAGGGATTTACATAATGGAGGGATTTACATAGCGTTGTATATATACTCGAATAGGGGGGTGCTTCTTGGGAAGGGAGTAAAAAAGCGCTCATCGAGGATACGCTCCCGCCCAGTCCAAGCTATCCATTTAAGAGTTGAGATTTTATTAGAAACTAACATTATGTACTAGCTACGCTAACCTATTTAGCCTGGTAATAATAATACCTTACTGTACAAGTACCTTCAGTACTATGATAAAGGTAATACACAAACCGAGCCAAACCAAGCCAACAGAGTGGAGATATATATCTATAATTACAAAATTTCTCCCCGAAAAACGCCTTATTCTTTATTTTCCCTTCCAAAAGTTGAAAAACAAAAGAAGGAATCCACCCATCACAAAGACTCACTCAACACCCTCAACACCCCTCCTGACGCCTTCCAAAACCCTCTTGAGCACGCGGGTGTCCACAGCGCCTTCGCACCCAGTACAGCCGAGGACCAACCCACCGCCTCTAACACCAACAACGCACCACTCCATGGCAGCGCCGATGACCCCCCCGCTCTGCGAGAACACTACTCTGTCGAGGCCCGCTTCGCCGTCCCAGGCGCCGACATTGCTCACGGCGAAGCTGTCCTCCCGCTGCTTGCCGAGCTTGCCCTTGAAGAAGGCGAAGAGGTCACTGACCCAGCGCAGCATGCCTACATCCAGGTCTGCCGTGCCGGCGTCTAGGCGGTTGTTGATCTGCGCTGTGTGTTCCCGCGCGATGGAGAATAGGTTGGAAGGTGTGGGAGGGGAGCGCGAGTATTCTGACCGGAGACTGGCGGCGTATGCGCCTATGGCTACTTCCTGGATCCGCTCTGTGGGGACATAGCGTCGGAGGTTGATCGGCGTCGATGAGGTGAGCTTGTCGAACTTTCCTGGTATCGCTTGGAAGATTGCTGTGGCGATGATTGCGGCAAGGAGAGAAGTGATTGTGGTGTTCTCCCTGCGGGAGACAGAGAGGAGTGTTTTGAGGGTTCTCGCGGAGAAGTGGAGGGATTTGTAGACTGTTCTTGTGGTTTCGGGGGTTGGGCACGCAGGTGTAGGACCGCCTGTGTAAAGTGTTGGGGGAGGAGGTGGTGGGAAGTACACCTTGGACCAGACCTCAGAGACGATGTGTGGCAGGGAGAGCGGGAGGGGGATTAGCGATTCAAGGGAGGAAGGGTAGGGCTTTTGTTGCGGGTGGACGACATAGCGACCAGCAAAGGTGGGATTTTTGTGGGGTCGAGAGAGCGCGGTGAGGAGTGATTTGTGTAGAGCTAATCCGCTGACGCCGTCGGCTATGGCGTGGTGGTATATGAACGATATCCAGACTCCCCCATTCCCTCCTACTTCTGCAGCTACACCACCAACCTCATCCTCGTAATCTCGAAAAATCAAACACCTCCACCCGGGCACTCTGCCCAATTCGAAACCTCGTGAATGCTGCTCCGAAAGCACGGTGTCGAGCTCGGCGGTTGTGTCCTCGCCCGGTAGTAGTATCGTCTGCACGATCTCTTCCAGGTCAATACTCTTCAATCGCGCGAACCGCGGCTCACGTGTGTTCTCCCCTAGGATCGTCACGGCTAGTGGCGGGTGGAGGTTTATCAGGGCCTTTAGAGCGGAGAAGATCCGTGGCTTCGCTAAAAGTGGTGGAGGGAGGGTGTAGTGTGCTGTTAGCCCGACGTTGTTGTAAAGGTTTAGGGTGTGGCGGGTTGTGGAGTAGCGTTCGTAAGGGCCTGGAGTTTGGATTTGGTTAGTATAAGGGTTTCGCGCGTAGTGGGGGGGGGGTCGGGGGTACCAAGGGCTCGGAGAGTCTCTGCTATGTCTTCCATGGTTAGTTTGATTCGATTGGACGACGGTGTTGGCTGTTGGTTGCAATTGAAGGAGTGAAGGGGGCCGGGGGGAGAAGAAGGGAGGAGAGAAGGGGAGGAAAGAGGGAATAGGTGGGTGCATGGGAAGGGGTGAGACGCGTTTTCTTCGTAAATATCATTGAGGGGAGCTTTGTCCTGCTTTCTTAGCTATGATCCACCGGCGCCGTATCCCCTGCGGTTGGCGGCGGGTGGTTGGTGGATCAGGGGGGTATCATGGATGGTTTGCACAGTGCGCGCCAACTCGTACATTACTCGAGTATGAGTTAAGTTGGTTACCGTGGTTACAAATGCAAGTCATCTCCCGACATCGATTCTTGACTTGGAGTGTTAAAGTATCATATTTATCGACAATATAATACCAGTATGATACATAGATCTCAGACCTCCACATACAACTTGTCGCCCCGGCCCGTCTCATTAATGTGCATTATTTACAAAAGGGAGTATAGGTCAGGGCATCTCGAATAAGTCTTCTTTCGGGTCTCGTCCTCGAAAGAACTTCTCGTCCGCCACCCGCACCACCGCCACCCCCCGCTTGAACAGCATGTATGATATGTACGTATACTCGGTCATGACACATCCGAAATCTAACTCTATACGTGCTCAAATTATCGCATCGCGATAATCAGACAGGAAGGATAGAATGCCTACTGTAGTCCACTTGACGCACCCGCGGCTCCTCTTTTCTCTTTCTATCTCCTCCCCTCTACTCCTCTCCATCGCCTTCCAAACTGGACCACCTCTTTGTATCTTCTTTTTATGTTGAAGGGAGAAAAAAAAAAGTCCGGTGTATATGATGGACTAAAACCGCAAAAAAGGAAAAAAAGGAGGGGAAAAAAAAAACCTCCTCAATACAGTATCTGCGAGTAGCAATTCCTTCTTTGGACTCTCTTGGATAAGAATGCGATCTTAGACGTTGGGGACAGCCTACTCTGGCAAGGTGTCATAGTAGGAGAGAAAGTTATCGATACCTTACCGCATAATCTCTTGAAAGCCACTATCAGGATATCGGTGGAAATCAGCCCGTCAGCCCGCGATAGGTTCAGTTGACGGGTTGGCAGGGTTGCGAATACCAGTTAAATACCGGTTAACGAGATCAAGCACGTCTAGTGGGCCAATCCTATACCGTGTCGGGGAAACGCTGGTCCTTCCCAGGAGCTTTTGACTCGAAGTCCGGAGATTACGGGGCTGCTGGAGATAGTGGATTTCAAGAGATTATACGGGTATCCGAGTATGCGGGCTCCGGCGTGCTAAGTTCTTCATAAAACTTACCCAAGATCTGTGGCTCTCGCTTTCTTCTTTCTTCTTTCTCTTTTCGATTTTCTCAATTTACCCCCTCTTTTCGATTTTCTTCCTTCTTCCAATTTGGCAAAGTATTTAAAGATTTGGTTCCTCATTGTGCATAACCCTCCAACCCGGATCGGTTTTCGTGCGGATACCGTGGCAACTTAAGACTGTTGGGAATTGTCGGTTTGAGTTTGGAGGTCTTTGACGGAGCGAGTGCATTAGCCTTCATACAATTATCCACCCCGGGAGACAGAGATGACTTACCACTGCAACAAATGAGCCTAACCATTGAGATCCCTCGTTGGAATTAGCCTTGATCAACATCACCCCGATCTGCTCGAGATGGCCATTAGTTCTCTGGTGGCACAAATTCAATATCATGGGGTATCACTTACGTTCTCCCTCCTTGCCTTTGGCCCAGCGAGGGGGATCGTATGCCCACGCTTCTTTCTCCGGCCCAACCTTACGCTGATAAGCTTGGGCGAACACCTGCAAAATGTTCTCGGGCATCTGAATTGCGAGATTCTTAGCGCATAATTGAGCAAATGAGCGCCTCGTGGGGTCTTTGTCACACTCGAGAAACGCCTCGATAACCCCGTTCAACCTATCAAGGAGTTTGAGACTCGGATCCTGTTGCGATGCCTCATTCCCACTTGTGACTTCTCCCCCTCCTCCGGTGCTAGTTTGGTTTCGTACCTCGCTGTACTCGTGGCGGTGAATCTCAATATCACGCTTGGTCATTGGGCTATAGCCGCTGTCGGGATTGGATATGAGTAAATGCTGAGGATCGATTGTGTTAGGCATTAGGGTGTTCAAATCGAGGTCGATCCCGCCGAGGGTCATTGTCGGCAATATGTCTTGGTTGTCAAACTCCTGTTGAGGAGTGCGGTCTATAAAGTTATCCCCCAGCTCTGGGATATCTGGAGAATTCATTTGGTGTGGAAGGAATGGGGCCATCAGTTGCCCAAGATAGTTCTTTTCCTCATCTAGGTTCGACCGCGCCAAGTCTATAGCGTGAGCTCAGGTCAGCAGGTGAACTTAATCAGAGGGATCCACCCGTCTCTGGGTGTCGTCGCCGCCCGGGGATTTTGGTACATACTGTCGATGTTGCTAGCCATATCATATTGTATTTTGTCATTAGGGGCGACCTGTCGCTTGAGGTCATCCCAGGACTTTACCTTGCGAACGTCTTCGCCGTGGGCCACGACCTCATCTCGGATTTTAACTGGAGGCGCACAACTAGCGGTTCGCACGTGCTTGCCCATATCCGTATTAGTACCTTTCCTAATCAGGCACGTTGGGCACTGTATATGTCCCACGTGTATCCTCAAATGGTGATCACTAGTTGTAGGTGAGCACAGGTTCTACCACTGCTCGTACTCCTATGGACAACAGGACTTACATCGCACTTTCCAGAGTGGTGAATTGCTTGTCTTTACAAGGGTGATCCCAATTCCTCTCGGGCGATTGCTGATTGAGTTCGAAAACAACGCAACGATGCCCACGCGAGCCTTGTGGTTCGTTCAATAGCTTTTTCTTTTTGTTCGGGTTGCCCTCGCCGTCTCCACCTCCCTCTCGCTTCATCGGGCGCTTGCTCGGGCCACCACCGCCATCCCTTGCCCCTGACGGAACCGTAGATCCTGATGTATTTTGGCCTGCACCGCCGCTGTTCCTGCGGCCGGAATGGCTCCCACGACCTCCGTGGCTTTGTCCGCAGGATGCGCTTGTGATTTGCGATATGGTGGCATATCCGTTTCGTAAAGCCAATCTTGCGATCACGGCGAGGATATTGTTGATAGGTTTAGTCTGCTCGGTGAAATGAACCTCGAACTTGTGGACGCTGTACAAAACGAGTTGGATCCTTTTAACTGGTGGTTGTTCGCGCCATGGGGCATCATCGTCGGACATCCAGTCGGCCAGGCGGTTGGCTAGGGGTTGTTTCATTGCCAATGAGGAAAGCCGAGAAAGAGCGTCGGTGTGCACAAATGCTCGAGCTGTGCTTGATTCCGGACAGTGGATTATTTCGGCGGCCATCATCATGTTCTGTGTGAAGCGTGAGAGAGGGAGATAGAAAGGCGGGGGGGTAGAGTTGTGGATTCTGAAGGCGTAGTTCCCTTGGGAAAAGGGTAAGTGAAAAGGCGTATGATAGATAAGCCATGCTTGATTTGTAGCACCATTTGTAGTACCCTTCGCAGTGGGTGCTCGTGGGCATCTGGAGGATGGTGCTCAAAGGCATCCTGTTGGCAGTGGAGGGGGTAGTGAGGAGAAAGGCACGACAATGCAACAGAGCAGGTAAATGCTTTCATTGGTGGACTAACCCGACCTGCAGGTTCTATTTTTCGCCCACTCGGATACCTCACGCTACCTTACGCGAGCGACGGAGGTGAGCTTCGACATTTGTGGTGGATTGACTTTTGTGTACAGCACCGCTATTGCATACCCCCGAATTTTGGCATGTCTGCTCAGATCTGGGTATGCAATCACAGGCGTCGCCCCGTAGGGGTCAAATTAATTACCTGGAAAATCCACTATGGGGGGAGTTGGGAAGGAAACTACTCAATCGCCCCCTTATATCGATATCGCAGCCGAGAGTAGTTAAAACTAATCCCCAACAGAACGCACAATAACGGGAGAATTCGCAGTGACGCCTGAAGCGGGTGCATCAGCAATGTTACAATGTCCGGGAATACTCGTGCACTGAATTCAAAGAGAATTACCGTACTACATAGTATGCGTTTTACTGTACATACCGGTATTAGAATGCCGGAGCTTACGAAGCGCTCGGCCCTCCAAATTGTTCATATCACATTGCTCATTCACTATTAACAGAGCCTCATTATGCAATGGGGAACGAAAGATTGGCTTACCCGGGCTAGATGCTGGGAATTATTACCGTACCGGTACTGTACTTATTCGCGAGCAGGTATAGAACTCGTACGAGTACACTAGGCATCTATCATCCTGGTCCACGAGCGCTCTCGGGTTTGGGCGAGCGCGATTGTTTCCAAAAATTGGCCGATGCCCTAGGGCACCTGGAGATACCGGTGTGTGAATGTCATTACGGAAAGGCTAGACCTCGTGAGCTTCTCATACTGCGGTTGGGGGAGCTAACCACAACTCTGCCGAGCCACTGTGTAACCCAAGTTAGACAAAAATTTGCGTGGAAGATATGCATGCTATATAGCCTTGCCGGCTCTCGACAACACTGAAGGAAACCTTAGTCCTGTTACTTCCATACCCAAACAGCGAATGCTGCCCCGGCATAATGCAGGAGGCAATAAGACTCCTTCTCAGTGGTGCCAGCTGTTCCCCCCCCCATGGGAAAAAGAGTTCTCATAGGAGTAAAATTCGTAGCCTCGTATTTAGGGTGTGAGTTGTCGACGCGGCGGTGATGGGGGTCCGAGGATTCATTTCCTTCTGGCGTTGTTGAGGTTGTCGTACGTGGCCATCGTGGGCGGGCGTGCGTCGGTAGCAAGCTACTCAAGCCTCCAGGATCTGAGGTTGGTCTCAAATCACCATTGATACCTCAACGGTTTCCTGCTCTCGTGCGCGTTGATGGATAACTTGTTGGATTATGTGATGTTTTTCCAATGGCGAGTGACATTACATGACCCACTGCTGGTTTACTCGTGGGTTGCACTCAGCTGAAAGTAAGCGCCCAGCGTCAGCACTGCAGGAGGAGCTGGAAAGCAGACTCCGCGTATAAACGGAATAAGGACAAAAGTTATCCCGGTGGAATACTTTACGTAGGCCCCGCTGATTCCGAGGTCGCCCCTAGGGCTGAGAAAGCCAGGGGAATTGCTGGGGCACACTAAAGAGCCGAACCATGCGCAGTATTGTATTGGCTCTCCGTGCTTTCTTGGCGTGTTTCTAAATCGCCGGGAATTTCAATGGCCGGCTCTGTCCGGAGTGACCGCATGCCCACAAAGGTCATTTTTTCGGGGTCGGCATGCTGTTGATGGCTGTTATCTGCACCAAAAATAGCCGTTGTGAATCATGAATGCATATGCTCATATTTCCAGAATTCATTTCTAATCGAAACTTCAGAACAACTGCTCTTCGGCATTATTCAGTTGGGGGTTTTTTTTTTGGAGATATTTTTCGTATTGCCCATCCCGTGCATTTTTTGCGGCAATAGTGACAAGCTGGATGCTGCCAGGCACTGCGTTTTTGCTTTTTGGAGGATTGAAGCATTTCCTCTAAAGCCACGTAACTTAGGGTGTGGTCTACTCGCAGTGTCGTAACGTTTTTAAAACGGACTGCTATTGCATACAGCCAGGCATTGGCCAGACCATCAGGATTTTAGTGGTATGCAGTAACTATCCATTTCACAAACGTTGCAACATTGCGGGCAGTTGGAAATGATCATACTTGTGCCATGTTGTGTGGGTGCTTTTGAGTGGTCCAGTGGTGGCCGGAATTTTCTCGCCCAGATTGGTTGGTGGGTTCAGTTGTTGCGTGTTCAACAATGGCCTTGTGCTCGAGTACTCTTTGCACCATATTCGCGTGCATTAACAGCTGGCCCACAACAGCCAGATTGTACCTCTAGGCGTCAGTCACTAAACTCCATCAACGGAAGAGCCCAGCATAACTTACGGCGTTTTTTCCCTTTCATGTCGGACCGAGCTCCGACGTATGCTCGCCAGGTATTAGCTTTCCTCTAGCAAGCTCGAACCTTGGGTCGCCTGAATACTGGCGGAACGATCTATGGGTGTCGAGCGTGGATGATTGTGGGCGATTTGTGTGTGCGGGGTTGCTCTCGGATCCAGAGTCTGGTGATTGTGGCTCCCTTAGTTCAACTACGGCCAGGCAAGAGATTGACCCTATCAGCCTCTTCGGAAATGATTGTCGGGAATTGTTGGATCAGGGATTGGTTCATGGCCGCTAGTGGTTTGGGGTTTGGCTTTGCGTGACTTTCCCACGGCTTGTGGGAGAATTCTTTCCTCCTCTTCCAATGGCAAGCAGGCTTTGTTGTCCTGTGATCCACCCTCATACTCAGATCGTTTTATTGGACCCGGTAGAGACTTGAACCGGCATATACTTAGGTATCGGTCCCCATCACTGCCGAAGGGCTCAGCGGATGCAAGGTCCCGTCCGAGAGACGGAGATATCCGTGCTTTGGTATGATACGAGTTTGGCTCCAGAGCCCGTTTCCAGAGCCCTACGAGGTTTCTGTAGTCGAGTTTTGAAGGAGCTCGTGCTAGTAGATGGGAGAACAATCATCTAGCCCCCGGATATGCCGTTTCCCTCACGCCATCCTTGCAACTTCCTGGCCCAGAACCGGTATCGAATCATGTTCGGGGGCTCTGAGAGATGGAAAAGGCTGTGTTCCACCCAGACATCTAGCGCGGGGATGGACTACGGTACTGGTAGCCAGCCGAAAGTGCACTATCCTGTTGATTATATCAATATATCCTCGTGGGGCACGATGAATGGACTAGATCTAGCGGAGTCAAAGTGACGAGAGATAAGCCTCCGCAATACTCCTGCTTGCTTTAAGATCATCCAATTTCTTTATGCTAGTTTGAGGGTTGTCTCGTCTCGGCTTCACAGATTTCGGCTTCCTTTGCCGAGGGAGATAATTTCTAAAAATCTGACGAATAATATACTTCTAATAAATGGTCACCAGGTGATTTATTGCTCGGTTGATTAGCTTACCACCTTGTTCTCGCCTTGCCAGACCCTGCCACAACACCTCGGATATAAGATAATACCTCTACAGCACTTCAAATTTGCGTTCATACCTAAATACCGCCATATTGTGGAATTTCCTAATCTTGGCTTCCCATATCTCCAGTGGCCTTAATAAGAAGAGAAATAAAAGTGACGTATTCAGAAACCGTGCTTGTTCGACAGCTCTGTAGTGTGAGCGATTAGAAGGAAGGGAATTTATTAGCTATCGGTAGTAATGTGAACTTTTTGGTATATCAAGTGATGCGAAGAGTGGGCTTAGTGTGGGCAAATCTGCCACGTAGCAGAGATAGAATCCCATTACCCCCGAAATATCACTCACCCTCCATATTTGCTTCTTAAGCCCATTAAAACCAGGTTGTAATTCCTCGGGGCCCAGAAACCGTTATAACCCTTCCCGGTCTCCAGGAGGTCGTCACCGGGTATAACTCGATATTCCCGATCGAGTGCAGCACCAGCACCAGATATGGTGAGTACCGGTAGAAATGAAGCTGGGCATAGCGCAGTATGTGTGTCACCCTGTGTACTGGGTTTCCCGATAACTGTTTTCCATAGCGCCTAATGTGTATTTATCCCGTTCTAGAGGAGATGAAGCAGTCGGTAATCTTGCTGGTTTTTCCCTCATTTGGAATTGCTTTGCTTCATATGCTACTTGGCGCACTCATTCCATTGGGTAGGCCCTGCTTGGCCACGGATACAAGAATGTAGTATCGACGATACCAGAATACCTGAAGCGGCGGTCTTATAGTCTGCCGTGTGCGGTTTGGGAAAATAGCTTATATAATCTTGCTTCTTCTGCAACTACCGGTAGGTATCTTCCCTATTAAGTAATTATAGCCTATTAAGGAACTATAGCCTGGACAACCACCAGGTGACCTGTTGGTTAACTGAGTCTGTGCGAGGAGCAACGCAAGCTTGCTTTCGTTGCTGGGGAGTTGGTGGTGCTCATTTTCAAGCCCGTGGGATATTTGGGATCGTGAGAGCGAGCCTGCTATGCTATGGAGCGGTGTTAAGCGCTGTCTCTTGGACAGGATATCTGATTACCATTAGATAGGTTTATGAAAGTTCAATCTGAAGCAAAGGGCGTTACCGAGTTCGGCGATTTATACCGAGAAAACCGTGCCAATCTTGTGCCCGGAGTTTAAGGCAAAGTTAAGAACCATAATACCTAGCCCGAAGCGCGTTTTTTCTTCGAAAAAATACACTGGGGAAATGCGGTATTTGATTCAGTTGGGAATTTTCCCTGTGTGCCTGGATTGATCGCTGGAGGGATAAGGGAGATCCTTTAGACTCAAGCTGTGACACAGGAGCCCTGGCTGCTTCACATGGAAGAGTGGAGCTGTGGCAGGTTGCTGAAGATATTTGATGGATCCGGTGGTGCGAGGCCCCCCGTAGCCAGTGCTATGTCAGGCATCGGAGCGTCTTTACAGTGCGTGAATATTGGATTCCTCCGTGAAGGGACTGCTGGGATTCTGACGGGAATGGGTCTTGAGGGAAACTCCAACCCATTGCATCCTCTCTCGGAACGCACTTGCGTGTTGTGGGGGGTGCCGCTGCTGGGGATTGGGCGCGAGCTGAGAGTAGGAACTAGAGGATATGACATGCTTGGAAGTGGGGAGCGCTTTGTTCTCTTATGGCCCCTAACTGTATCCTGAAGCCTTTCAGGCGGCGTATGGGTATGGTTGGAACTGTGCCTGTGCGGTTGGTACTTGTTAAAGTTGCAGAGGTAAACGGGGCTGGATGGGGCTGCCCGGAGCATAATGGTCTAGGTTTGTTGTACTATAGGACATTGGAAAAGGATATTGCTCCGTGGAAGTATTGTCGCCAATGAAGAATAACTGAAAACGTCTCGGAAGCGATGGGAAAAACTTCTATAGAGTTTACCGGCTAATCAAGACCAAGTTATAGGTAAGTATCTTACTGCGGATAGTGCTCATTAAGTCCCGAAGCTGCCTCAATCAGAACTTTCAGTTTATCCATAACCGTATGCCCTACGGCCCCGGGAGGTGGGGGGATTTCATGGAGTCGCCGCAAAACTGGATTAAGCCCACTATTCGTGGGCACCAAGAAGCTTTTCTATTGTTTCCTGTAGTCGTTCGGTCATTTTTGGTAGGTGGTAATACTGTCAAAAAGTGCTAGGAGATTCCGAGCGACTAGTGGAATAGTTGCTCGGAATCTGGTCTTTTTCAGTCTCGAACCCAATTGAAGGAAGGAAAGGGGTGTGGTTTTCTCATGCTTTTTTGGGGGGAACTTGACGTTGTAGAATGAGTGGAGAGGCTACTGTATCCGGAAACGCCCCAGATGGAATGAGGTTCCCTACTTAGGCCCTGTTTGGCAAAAATGGAACCGTTCCGTTCGGCGACCGTTTCTCATACAAAAATGCTTGTCATTCCTTTTCCTTCTGTTTCGAAATGGACATTTTGTATGGGAAATGGTCGCCAAAGGGAATTGTTCCATTTTTGCCAAACAGGCCCTAAACCATTTTTAGACTGGTGGCTGTGGGAGCTGTGCAGGATACTTTGTGGTGGGCGGGGGTTCACCTGGATCTTCATGAATCGTGTTCACTAACCGCCCCTATTAGCTGGGCTTGGAATTGGGGTTCTTGTCCCATACCAGTAGCTGGTGTTGAGGCATAGGTATCGTAACGAAGCTAATAGAAGGTCATAAACATGATTGGTTTTATCGAGCGCGAAGGAAACTGAGGAAACAAAACTATCCCCTTTGGTATCATTCCCACTTGTGTTCGAAGTGCAAACGAAGACGGGGACAATGGTGGATCGAGGGAAGAGCTCTCGTCCGGGGGGTAGTTATAGAGGGAGAAGGCTATTTATATGTATCCAAAATTCGCCGACATCGCTGGCATGACAACTGGTGAGGGAATACTCAGCCGTCAGCCCTACGATTATCGACCGTAATTAGTGGGAAGCTTTCGGCGATTATCACGTGGCAGGCAAAAGTGTCGGTAGGGCGATAGTGCGTTCTCACAATGCTACTAGTACCCTGTTCAGCTGCCATGTACTCTATGAGCATAAATGCATGTTACATTCCTAGAACTACCGTTTCTAATAGGCCAACTTGCCCTTGAGATGGGGACCAATCGGGGATCGAGCTTCACAACCGAGTGATCGAGCGACTACATGTGGAGAGTGCGAATAGATGGAAAGAACTCGTCGCTGTGAGGACTAGGTGCCTAGGGCCGAACCGTTGCGGAAAATCAACTAGAGTAATCATATCCACCCTCCGGAATGATGCTCCAGAACTCTTCCACAATTTCCCTCTGCCCAGCCGGAGCAGCTCTAACAGCCATGTATCTTCTTCCGTCGATGGTAGGGGACCAATTGCCTGGATTAGCATCCACAACGATCCCACCAGCCTCGGTAAGAATGAGCCATCCTGCCGCCACATCCCAAGCCCAGCATCCACCTTCCTAGGAATCAGTTAGTCTTGCTTCCAAAATTGGGTAAGGGTTGAGCAAACCCAGTAGACATCGATCTGTCCGGCAGCAACAGCACAGAAATTCAGCGCTGCGCTTCCCATACTACGCAAGGAATGGACCATTTTTCCACCCTGTTCTCTACCACCGGCAAGCTTTGCAAAGGTTTCATACTTGATATTCCAGTTGATACCAGTTCTGTGACTGCCCCATTCTACCGCAACAAGAGACTTGTCAAGACCCTCGAGTGGGGGAGGGTTGGGGTTGCGAGGGAGCCTGAACCTGCAAGACTCAATTGGAGCAGCAGACCTAGAACGAACGGGCATGGTCAAGAAGGACCCCTGACCCTTAATCGCGCTATAAAGATGGGTGGTGTAAGGGTTGTAAACAACGCCAACGACCGGCTTCTTGTGAATAGCTAGGGCAAGCGAGATACAAACATTGGGGAGTGTATGGACCTAGGTTTGTTAGTCGCATGAGACCAGGATGCGGAGGGAAACAGACAACTTACAAAGTTGACAGTCCCATCGATAGGGTCACAAATGAAAGTGGGTTTGTTGGTAAGTTTCTTCCCGATAGTGTATGTCTCCTCTCCAAGGAAACTAAGTTGTCGTTCGGTCAGCCCTCAATGTTTGCCTAAATGATAATTACGGGCGTACTCAAGCTCCGGATATTTTCCCTTGAGCGTGGTGATAACATATTGCTCGACAGCCTTATCGGTCTCGGTCACGAGATCCGCAGCTATCCACAAAAGTTAGCAAACAAATAAAGTGTGAGAAAGGGGAGAGGATGGACAATTCTGCTTGGTTCCCACGGTGGCAATGTGAGGCTGAGCAGCGAGAATCATGTCACCAGCTGCTAAGGCGACCTCAACAAGGAGACTATGGACCTCCTTATGATTAATAGGGTCGACCATTTTTGTCTCTATCCTTCTTTGCGCGGGTAGTAGGAGGGAGGGTGGTGGATGAAAGGTGGCGGATGTAGGAGGAGGAAGAGGAGGAGGAGGAGGAGGAGGAGGAGGAGGAGGAGGAAGAGGGGTTTTTAATGCTATGACACCAAGAATGTTAGATATCTTCGACTTGGGTAGAAGGGACCTAATGGGGGGTCCTATTTTCTATTTTTTATTTGCAGGGGTGGCTATGAATTGAGTGGACAAACAAGCAATAGGATGGGGGGCATGGGGGGAGGGGAGAGCTGGAGAGATAGGATTGGGTCGATAGGAGTTACGTACTCACAGGAGCTCGTGGTCGCCGTGGTGAAAACTGGGCAAAGGGTGGAGAAAGAAATGGCAGAGCTCAAGGAGATGGAAAGGGAGGAGAAGAGAGGAGGCGAAAAAGTTGTATGATACCGTTGTGGTAAGACAGAAACACGTAAGCACGTGGACTTCGCGGATTAAAGTTTTTCCTAATACTTGTACCTGGAGGGCAAGCTCCCCACTCTGGGTCAACGGAGAAGAGATCAAGAGAAGGTGGAACAAAAGGGGCGTTAACGGCACCTTTTTATCACCTGCTTTTCCACTGCTTTTCCACTGCTTTTCCAGCCCCCTCCATGTTGCAGCCGAATCTACGCTAGATCGATTCCAGGCATCACTAACTTAGCGGTTATCGTTCGGACCCGGGAGTCTTGCGAGAAGCGAGCATCCTGACAAGATTCACCGCTATCATGCAATATATCTTTTCCCGCCAACCGAGCTTGGCTAGGAGCCCTAACGGGGTAAGTATAGTATCATGGGGATACGCCCGGCTGTTGTCCGTGAGGGGGACACCGGTGCGCGGGGTATCTACCATTCTCGAGTACTCGAGTGGGTAGGAATCTCGAGGGGTGGTTTGTTGTTCCTGCATCGCCCGTCAAACTTTTCCTTGAGTATGCAACGGCACTTGTATTATCATACTGGTACCCGTGATGGCAATGCTACAACTGCGCTGAAAGAAAAGGGGCCCGGCATGTCATACCCCGCCCATCGTTTCCAATCACGTGAGAGAAGGTGGGAGAATCCCTTGGATAAAAATTACTGGTCCAAATACAAAGCTCTGATCAAACGTCCGCTGCGTACTCTCCATCTTAAAGTTTTGAAGGTGTCGTCCCCTCCTCATCCGCAACCCTGACAATCAGTTTGCCGAATTGTTTTCCCCCCTTCATTATCTCGAAAACTTCCTCACATGCCTCGATGGTCAAGCCCTCAACCACCTTGGATACTACAACACCAAGTTTGTGCTTGCGGACAAATTCCACCATTTCTCCGAACTCTTTTCGGGATCCGAGGGTTGTTCCGCGTATCTAGTAGGTCAGTAATTGACAGCCCTGCCATAAGTGGGAAGGGACAGACCTCGACGTTTTTAAATACCGCTGACATGGTGAACGGAGTCTTGGGCGCGAGTGTCATACCATATGAGACAATCTTTCCCCCCGCTCTCAGTATCGGGACGGTTCTCGCTGGTCTCTTTATTAGCATCTTGTGTCCCGCAATTGATCAAGACCTAGCTTACAGCAGACATCGTCCCCCGCTCCGTCAATTACAACGTCCAACCACGACCTCTCTGCTGGCAAAGGCAACATTGACTTCAATTCTCTCTCCCACCCCACTTTTTTGTAGCTAACCCCCCCTCTCGCTCCCAACTTTTTTGCTGCCTCTAGCTTCTCTGGACTTCCGCTCGTAACCCAAACATTTGCGCCGACCGCTACGCAGAAACCCAACGCGGCCAACGCAACTCCACCCCCAATCCCCGTGATGAGTACATTATCACCCGCCCTGACGTTCCCTTTAGTGAAGGCAGCCCGATAAGCCGTCAATCCACATAGCGGTAGCCCAGCCGCTTCATGAAGGCTCAAGTGGGCTGGTGCTTCCTCAACTTCGTTCTCTGGCACCACAATCACCTCGCCAAGCGTTCCTTGAGGAGCATGTTTAGTGCCACCTAGGATTGCATAAGGAGAAGTTTCTGGGCCATCAGGGGAAGCCTCCCACCCCCGTCCCGGAGCCAACACAACTCGTTTCCCAACCCATTGTGAATTCGACTTTCCGGCAGAAACAACGATGCCAACACCGTCGGTTAACAGCGGCACTGAGAACGCAACTCCGGGGTACAAGTGCTCTCGAATAAAGTGGTCGCGGTGATTCAAGCCTGCTGCTAGTATCTTGACAACTAACTCATTGCTCTTCGGGGTCGGCGGCGGTAATGTGATGTACTCTAAGCTGTCACTATGTTAACTTCAAGTCACAGCCAAATCATTGGAGGAAGACACACGGGTAGTAGACTTGTCCCGGCTTTCCGGGGATCTGGCGAATCCCTATGGCTTTCATGATTTTCAATACTCCCCTATTTCCAAGAGAAAGACGGAGGAAAAAAGGATAGAAAAATGAGTGGGTGGACGAGATCGTGGGGGATAAGGAGCTAAGTTAGATGGTTGTTCTACCGGTTCATCGCGTTATACCCCGGTCGAAGGGTATCCAGGGTATCCAGCAGCTAATTCATTTTGGGCTAAGATTTACTCCGCTCCGCCTCCTTATCCACATAATCCATATGATAGGCACAGAGTATCGGAGTTCAGGATTGATGAGCTGCGTAGAGGAGCCGGACTACAGGATTTCTCTTTTCTCCAAGCTGCTATTGTACCGGAGTTGTCTCATCATTATTCTAAGCTGTTGAAGACGGCTGTGCTCGGGTAGGTACTAGTAGGGTGGTCCCTGGTTGTCCCGTTGTGGCACGGGACCCTAACCCTCGCCCGATTGGGTTGTGGATCAGGCTGATGATCGAGTACCTGGGCCCGGGAGTAACGATGATATTCATACTCTGCTCCCTGATTCGGGCGGGATTGGAATTGTATTGGAAGTTGGCGAGCTAGGTGTGGGGGATCGGCTAATGGGGTGACGTTCCTGGGAGTCGAGCTTGAGGTGAAGACATTGTATAGCAGTCTGCGTTTGTTCTTAAATAGTGCTGATAGTGCCCAGGCCAAGGATTGAATATACATTACTTGAAGTCTACTAAAAGCACGGTTATGTTGCGGAGTGTGTTCGCTTGTAATATTGTACTGTACTGTGCTTGTCATGAATATTTCTGGTCAAATAAGGAGTAGGATAGTTCGGTTGGACCGGGGGGATACGTTACTTCCCGCGTCCCAAGAAGGCTGAATGAATGTCTGCGACAATTACCGTATGTCAGCCAATCGTATGGCAGTGATTTTCTTCTTCTTTCACCTTACCCAGAAAGAAAGAAAGAAAGAAAGTGTAAACCTCCTGGTAAAACCCTAGCACATAGAAAAAACCTGTTGCATGGGAATCGATTTCACAGCCGCAGACTACCGGCGTGATACCGCACTGTATAGTACAGTGCCTCCGCTTTACGGCACCAGAATATGTATCTGCCGGCCCTCATCCGACCTGTAGCATTCAGTTGGTTGACTTGACCTCTTTGAATTTTCCGTGGCATAACTTAATAGCTGAGCTGGTCCAGCAATGGGGATAAATTTCAGCTAACCAGTGGTGCGCCGTACAGTAGCTGTAATTGAAAAAGAGATATCTGTGGGCTGGGGTGCACACTCTCTATGGTATAACGGTAGTGCCCTGGTCTTACGTTGGACAGCTCTACGATGTTTAAGGGAAACTAGAGTTTGGGGTGCGATAATATGGGTGGTGAGTGGGATTGTGGGTGCGGTAGTAGGACGGGGAATGCATTGTAGGGCGGTTTGGCGTGGTTTCGGATGTGCTAGCTTTTGTAGCCGCGAACGGCGAGAGTGGAATTTGGAGGTGGGGTATCATATATCAGTGCTTTTTTCGGTGGCCTGGATTGCTTGCGAAATAGCCACGACAACTAGTCTACGGGTTTTTGTGGGAAAGAGGAATAATGGGATGGCCTGTTTTGTAACTGGGTGTGTCGAAAGAGAGGAAGAAGGGAGGAAGGAAGGAAGAACGAAAGAAAGGGTGGAGGATATCCGGTAACTCGCGCGCAGCATTACCGGGGGTCCCCACTCATGGCTCTATCCGTTCTGTATAATATGCTGGGCCTGGAACACTCTTCTGGTGAATGCCGTCATTACCGAGCACTCGTTCTTAAGTTACGGGTGGTTGGCTGAGACCCCCGGCGAAGTGTATGGGGGTTATCGGAATGGGTGTCTCGGCGCACATCGCGGGCATAGACGACTACGGGTAGGCCTCATTATCTCTTTTTTGTCTATGGAAGTAATACGCGAGAGGTGAGTGAGTTGGTGGAATTTCTATGAGAAAGCAAGGGTGAAGGAATGAATCGCTATTTCGTTGAGGGGTCTGGCGTCGGGGAGAAGGGGATTGTATGGTGGAAGGGCGGACCGGCGAATAGCCTGAGAGGTGCATTGAAGTGGGTCGGACGGCTTAGCTGAGGGGTGCTTTCAGACGGCTTCGGTATCTATAGGGGCGGGGAGTTTAGGTTCGGAGAGTAGCTCCACAGCTCTTATATTTCCTCGGGGCGTAGTCAGTGTAAAGTCTGTTTCGCCGTTGAGGTCTGGCATGTCGGGATTAGCATCGCCTCGTTCCGGCAGCAGCTTTTCTACTCCCTCATGTCGACGCATAAAAGCCTGCGAGAGTGTAGCGGCCAGTGCGAGCGCCGTTCTGACCATGGTGAATGTTGCGCCAATATCCCATTCTTTTACCGCCGATAGGGTGGCAACTATCCCCGCAATTCCGAGAGATGCTTCTCTATGGAGCCCGGAACAGCCCGAAGGGCCACCCGTCTCATCGGAGTATAGCTTCCACCAACGTCTATCCTTATTGTAACGTAGCAAGAGAAGTTTAGAGGGTATGTGTGGTTCGAATCAGGGCCAAATTCCCAGTGCAAGAGGAATCATACCCCCCCCGTCTTCTTTTTTATATTATTTTCCTCCTTTTTTGCCTTCATTTGTGCTGGGGTTGTCGTGAACGCATCCTCCAGATGATTGCACTTGGTAATCTCGCTCGACCGACTTTTCCTTTTCTCGGGGATGGAAACCCTCCCTGGCTGGCGGCGATGTTTAGCAAAACAAGGAGCAATCTATAGACCACCATTGGCTGATATAAGGTTATGCATGGAAAGGGAATGGGAATTATGGATACCCCTTCACACTTTGCTGAGATTCGTTCTGGTATGGCTCTCAGAATATCCGTCCATAAACCGCCAGACATCTACTCGCGCGCGGTGTCTATTTTCAAATCCTTCTCCAGAAGCTTTCTATATCCTGTGTCTTAGGATTGATGGGTACTAAAACTCTAGTGATGAGAGATCCTGTAATTTCGGTCCGTACCTGCTCCAGCATCTGGGCCATATACGAAAGGGGCAGACCTCGTCTACTTACATCCCTTTCTATCCTTGAAACACCTTTTGCGGGTTCCCTGGCACTTCCCTTCTAACCGCTACCTGATTCTGGATAACTCCCATAATACTGGTGCGGTATCAGTAACCGTCTGCTCCTGCCGGTCGCGGAAGTCGCAGTAGTACCCCGCGATTGCAATATCTTCCTGGCCAGGTTCACCGCACAGGCTATTGATCACTGATAAACTAGTATTGCTGGCAGCGAAACCATAATTCCTGGCTCCCCCAGAGGAACTGGTTAGTCGTACCCCGGATACCGTAAAGGCTTGAACAATTGAACTGTGTGCTGCGTCTCTGGGTTTTCCACTCTCAATAATGTCAAGAAACTTCTGTCTCGGCGGGTGGAAAGGGTTGCATTTTTGCTGTGTTTTTCCCCCCCTTTACAGAGAAGGGGATTTTGGACTACATAGCACACGGCCAAACTATCCGAGTTTTCACGGCATGTCTTTCCCGCTCCCACATTCCCGCAGAAATACAGCAAAGCCTTACCAGCTACTTCTTCGCTAGTCCTCCACTCCCGGAACTCGTTTGTTTCCAAAAGCGGGTTGTCTCCCACCATCGAGTGTGTCAGTATGCTCACCCTGGTACCTTCTCCTAGGATCTAGTGACGAGAGCCACCGCGGAATTTCTGGGCTCTCATCGGCTATCGGTTTGCTCGCATTGGCGATATTGTTTATACGGGTGGTGTTGTGGATATTATTACTATTCGTTGCTTTTAATGGTGCTGGTGATAACTTAGTCTAGCGCGAATTTGCTGCCTGGTCCATTACGGTCTGTCAAAATAGTTGGCCGAACTTAGATGGGCTGTAGCGGTAACTGTGGTAACGATATTGATGGCTTTATGGGAACCCAACCTGAGCTGAAAAAGGGAGGAGTGTGGTTTGTGATGAGACAAAGTCACAATCTAATCATTTCCCTACAGGAGCAGACACTCGCGCCTCGACGACTTAGACTACCGTCCGTTCCCGCCAACGCAGACTAGCACAGGGACTCAACTACGAACCATAAACGACCTCAACAGCAGTAACAAGTGGACAACATTATTCTCGATTTCGGGAAGGTCGTCGGTTTAGAAATTCTCCAGCAATACCAGCCTTACTTTTCTCAATTGGGGTAGTGGTCTGAACCCCTACTGTCGCGGCGCTGAGACAAATATGTTAGGGGTTTTTGGTGTTCTGTGTGTGTGGAGAGCGAATGGGTCGCTTGTGGGGAGCACGAATGGATTGCGCCGTCGTCTCTCAGATACAATAGTGGAATAGCCGACGGACCGAGGTTCCCCGTGATAAAAGTAGGACCACATCTTAGACGGTGGGTATTTCTTTACTAGCGAACATCTCCTACCGGTATCCCGCGATTGAGAATTGAGCAGTAAGTCATCAAGTTGGCAAGCCATCAACAACTGATCCAAAGTATGGGATGTCGGGCCAGAGTAGGATACGTGAAAGAATGACAATCTAGACGAAGAATTGGACTTACAAGAAATGGTGAAACCGCAGGTAACTTGGCCGTAGTTGTCGCAGTAAACAGAAATAATTTCGCTCACAAGTCGGACTCTCGCGGTGGTGGCGTGATGCCCCTACCCTCAGGTCTTCGCTTGCCTTCAAACACTGCTAGCATATAGGTATTATATCTGGATGGATAGTAATGGTGCTCGAGTAGAAGCATGCAAGGTCAATCACCATCTTGACCCGACTACCGGTGCTCAGAAGAATGGGGAAAGACATACACTCTACTCAGGCATAATACATGATAATATTATTATCCTAACCTGTTCGAGCACGGCTAATTGGAGGACGGCTTTTGCCTCACCCCCGACGCATTCAAAACCCTTCAATTCGTTCCATGCATTAACTCAACATCATCCGACAGAATACAAACACGAATACTCGGGTGGAAGGGGCAAACCTCATTTCAATTGCTTAAAGGAATATATAGTGGCCCAAGAAGCTATCATGTTTACTTGGTATTCCCGGGCACCTTGAAGTATTTATCAAAATTGAATCATCGCATATCTACAAAGGGAGGACATGAGATTGCCCTACCGGGAACCAGAACAACTGACCAGTTTAGCTATTGGTTCTGCAAGGCCTCCAACCTCCCTGATGGCCGGTGAGTTATCCCAACTGTGTAATAAGCAATTGGAGAGGCTATCGGAGGGGGTGGATTCCGGATATGTCTTCCTTGCTGCGAACGCATCAAAAGAAATGCACCCTGTAATCCAGCAACCCCAGCGCTGAGTT